ACGTATAGCTTTGATGACTTGATGAATTTGTTCTTTAGGCAAAACACTCACGGACACTGTTGGAAGCTCTGCAAGAGCAAAATCTGCACGAGGAGGTAAAAAATGAAGGAGTTTGATCATGTTTCAGAGAGGCAGGAAAGTCAGAAGGATGACAACCTTTTGGTCTCCCCAGGGTTTGAATGGAAGAGATGTGGGTGCCCAGAGGTGAGCAGGGCAGTCCTCTCAGCCTGTTGTAGGAGCTCATGGGTTTTACAGGATTGACAGATCATGAAGGTTGGCAGGGACCTTGGGGGTCCTGAGTGCAACCCCTTGCTAAAAGCAAGTACAGTCAGCAGAGGCCAGACCAGGCTGCTTAAGGCCTCGTAGGAGGGAGAGACCACAATTTCTCTGGCCAAACTACTTCCAGTTCTTCTTCATCCTCGGAGTGAAAATTATTTTCTATTATACCCAGCAAAAATCTCCCATTTCAGTACATGACCACTGTCTCCTGTTCTTTTGTCCAGCACCTCCATAAGGATCCTGGCGCTTCCTGCTCAGGAACCTCCTCATAGGTGTGGAAATTAACTGTTTGGTCTCCTCTAAATCCTCTCCTTCAGGGTGATCAAGCCCAGCTTCTTCATCTTTCCTTCACAGGACTAGTGCTCCAGCCCCCAAACATTGTGGTTCTCCACTAGTCTTGCTCTCATTTGGGGAGACAATATTCCATTATTTTTATTATTTCAGATGACATTTTGAAGAACTAATGAATTAAGTATATTTTAAGAATTTAAAGAAGGTAAAAATTGACTTAGAAATAAAAAAGTTTGAAGCTGGACTTTATATAAATATCTTTATTTTTGAAGGTTAGATATAAAGCTTGTCAGATTCATTCCTTTCTTTCACTGAAAAGAAATATTTGTCTTTTCTACTGCAATGTAAAGCTGGTAAGCATTACATGTTATTGATGAGATTCTAGTCTTAGGAAAGATCATGACTTGGACATTGCAATGAGTTGCCCAGTTATAAGAATATGGAGAAATTTCTTCTAAAGTAAACCTTAGTGTTGTTCATTTTAAGATGATGAAGTTAGGATACTTACAGATCAAGTCCTATGGAGCCCAATAAAGAATGGAAAGATAAAATTACAATTACTTTATATCGCTAAAGCAGCAGTTCTTTGGCTTTAATACAGCTGAAATGTAGAAGGTAAGATCTTTTACAGTCAGTGAAACCTCTGTGGAGCACAACACATAAAAATTAATTTTCTCTGAACTGAAATTTAGATCTAAAAAATAATATGATTTCTGAACAGCATGTAATGAATCCTTTCAGCACTATTCAAATACATTAATTTGGCTGCTAAGAGTTTTGAGTAATCTATATAAAATACACCTGTTCTTAGCTATCCCCATTGCTAAAGGTGTTGCCCAGACTGTCATGATCCGGTATTTCAATTATTGCCACATCATCCACCTGGGCCTTGACTAAAGCATTATTTCTATGGCTATGTTAATTGAACATGCTCAGATAATTTTCCCAGTTCCTCACTGTGACAAAACCAGCCTTAGGGTGAGTGCAGTGTTCATTAGAGCTGCAGTACACAAGGTGCTGTACCTACAGTCAATTCCTCTCCGTTAACTGAAGTGAAGCTGCAGAGACAGAGATCTACCATGACCTACAGAACTCATCCCAGCTCTTTTCCTTTCTCTGATTTTTAATCTCTTGGAGCCCCTGCCTTTTTTCCCTCTGACTGCAAAAAATGTTCTGGGCTCTGCAGACTCTGGTTTGGCTTCCAGGCCACTGACACCACACTTTGAGAGATGTCAGTCTTCTTCAGTGCCAGCAGGACACCTGTCAGAAAGTCCTTTCATACTTTTATTTCATACTTTTGTTCCAGAAGTGGAGCTGTGTTAGTGGGGAGGTCCTGGTATCACTGGTTGCCAAAAGGACTCCAAGAGTCTAAAAAAATGTTGTAGAGTCAAAGTCGCATAATTTGTAGACGTGAAACAGTAAAGGAAATTAGTTCCTGGAGTCCTCACAAAAGTGTAGTTAACACCTTTGCTTGATTTCCCCTTCTTGTAGTTTGATCTCTCTCTCCCTGGCATTAAAGCTTGGGAGGTCTCTAGGGTGCCGGACACTTCTTATTTCTGCATCAGAAAATCGCAAGCACATACTCTAAAGATAGTGTTAGTGCAAAAAGACTCACTTTTAGCTGTCTAGGGTACACAACATGTCACATGAAACATGAGTGGATACAGGGACTACACGTCTTGGAGAGCTCCAGTTGACAGTAGACACACTTGACTGAAATAAATTATGGCACCAGTTGCAACAAGTTTTACAGAAAAGTTTCACTGTGTAAGCAGATTGGGCAAAATAAAGACCATAAACCACATATACACGTGCCTTTTTTTGGCACTCTTTCCCTTAGCATCCACTCCAAACCCACTTGGATACCACTGACACTGAGCTAGACTGATCTTGACTGACTTGAGTTGTTAGATCTGTGTTTATTAGTTGACAGCTCACATCTTTGTAATTCTTAGATTATGACAACATTAAAAGATACTGATGCTCTGCACAGCACAATGGAATCTCACACACTGTAACTCCATCATGACAGTTATAATAAATAAATATTTTGCACCAGAAAATACTTATATCACAGAATCATAAAATGGCTTAGATTGGAAGGGATGTTAAAGAACATTTGGTTCCAGCCTTCCATGAGACCAGGTTGCTCAAACCTCCAACCAGCCTGGCCTTGAGCATTTCCAGGGACAGGGCAGCCACAGCTTCTCTGTCTCACCACCCTCACAGTAAAACATTTCTTCCTAATAGCTAATATAGAACTACTCTCTTTCAGTTTGAAGACATCCCCCTTTGTGTCACTACAGCCCCTTGTAAAAATTCTCTCTTTTCTTGTAGGCTCCCTTCAGGTATTGGAAGGCTGCAATTAGGTCACCCCAAAGCCTTCTCTCTTCCAAACTGAATAATTCCAATTCTCTCAGGCTTTCCTGAAAAAGTGCTCCATCCCTCTAATTGTCTTGGTGGCCTCCTCTGGACTCACTCCAACAGATCAGTGTCTTTCCTGTGCTGGAGACCACACAACGTTCCAGGTGGGTTCTCATGAGAGCAGAGGGACAAAATTGTCTGTGTTGACATGTTGCCCATACCGCTTTTGATGCAGCCCAAGACATGTTTGTCTTTTTGGGCTGCAAGTGCACATTGTCCAGTCATGGACAATGTCTCATGTCCAGTCTCTCATCTGCCAGCACCCCCAAGTTCTTCTTGGCAGGGCTGCTCTTGTATTGGTACTAGGGGTTGTCCCAATCAAGGTGCAAAACATTGCATTTGGTCTTGTTAAATCTTATGAGATTCCCATGTGCCCACTTCTTGAGCTTGTCCAGCTCCCTCTGGAGAGGATATCTGAGAGCTTGGGAAATTCAGGACTCAGTCTCATATGCCCCTTTTTATTTCAAGCAAGTTATTTACCCTTTTTGTAAGTCAGTCTTCAGTACGGAAACTGATGATACTGATCCTTCTCTGCTCTGAAGGAATATTATACAATAAATGCTGTCAAAAATTCTGAGGTCTCAGGATGGTATGGCAAACACCATACAGTCAGGCTTCACTTATCTATGGTTAGATTGTTCAGGCCATGGATGAAATGCCAGCTTGGGTTTAACACTACATACTAGCTCAGGCACAGTGGCACATGAAAGGAGTTACGCTCTTTCTAAGGCCAACTCTGCTGTGGAAAGAGTACATCTGCTTTTGTGAGAACCTAGCTGGCTCCATCCCGAGGCAGCTCAGGTATTTCAGCACCAGAAATATTGGCACAGGCTTTGTCGGGAGGGGCCAAGAAGGAGGAGCAGAAACACCCAGCACAGACCCAGCCTCGATCCTGGATCTAGCTGAGTTTATTAGACTTGGCTTTGCACCAGCTGTACCAGATCCACGCTGCCTCCCAGCTTTTGCACCTGCTTCACAGAGCCCCAGGTCCTACGGGGCTCATTAGGTCAGGCACAACGGGATGAGAACCACAAGCAAAGAGTCACGGTCTGTGCATACCTGTCTGGCGAACAGGCTGTGAGTGAGGAGCGGAGAAATAAATGGCACTGTGGACTCAGTGTAGTGGATGTTATGAGGAATTAACAGATCTTCCTGTATCAAAATTAAATTCATTTGGAAACTCTTGGTTTTCCCCTTGTTTCAACCTTCTTTATCTGTACTATTGAGATTCCCATTTTACTAACTTCACAATACCTTTGTCAAGTTGAGATGTGGCTAGAAACAAGTACAAATCACTTACTGAAGTCACACTTTAGGACTTCCAGAGCCATTTTTTCAAGACAATGAAAGTGGTTCTTCAAGGAAGAGACTTTGAAATATGTGAGATCAGACTTTAGAAAGCCAGAAGGAAAGGGGGAGGGGGGCGTTGTGGGGGGGCAGTAGGCAGAATAAATCAATCAAGGTCTTAAATCCAGGCTGGAAAGATATAGTTATCAAGAAGAAAAGAAAAAGGAAAGAAAAAATAAAAAAGAGAGAAAGAACAGGGCGAGAAGTGAGGATAACTAAGTTTCCCCAGGCTGTAAGCAGGGCAGAGAAAGAGAAAGGACGAGGAGGCTTTGCGGGAGAGGGAGAAGCCCGCCGAGGAAGAGCCTGCAGGCAAAAGCATCAGCGGCTGCCGGGCCGGCCGGCGTTAGGGCCCGGCGGGGGCGGGGGCGCGGGCCGGGCGGGCGGCGCCAGGGCCGGGCGGCGGGAGGGCCGGGGCCGCGGCACCACCCACGGGCCGCGGCACCACCCACGGGCCGCGGCACCGCGCCGCCGCGCATCCCCGCGGAGTCCGCGCGGCCCCGCCGCATAAAAGGAGCGGGCGGAGGCGGGCGGCCGGGGGCCCGGCGCGGACACCGCCTGATGTGCCGGGGAGCCCCCGCCGCCCGCCCCGCCGAGCCCGCGTGGGGCTGCCCCGCGGCGCGGAGCCGCGCTCGGGACGGGGCGGCCGCGGGAGGTGCGGGGGGACGGCTTCGCCCCGCCGTGCCGCGACCTGAGCGCGTGTGGGCGGGGAGCGCCCCGCGCCGGGATGGATAAATAGCGCTGTCCCCCGGCTGACAGCCCGTCCGGGGCGCGGGGCCGGGGCAGCGCTCGCCAGCTGCCGCGGGACAGGCTTGGGGGCTCTCGGTGACTCCGCTCCACGGCCCCGCTCCTGCCCCGACACGGGTTGTGATTTTTCTCTGTCTGTCTGCTTGTTTTTGGGGAGAGCCAGAGCAGTGCAGGACCAGGAGAGCCCGGGTCCCAGCTTTTCACCTCTCTCTCCCTGCAGCACAGGGGAGATGCTGGAAGCGGCGGTGAGTTCGCAGCGCCCGAGGAGGGCGGCAAGAAGCGTGTAAACTCCTGCGGTCCCCAGCGGCAGCCGCTGCCCCGCGACCCTCCGCCGGCCCCTCCTCGCCCCGCACGCCGCCGGCCTCGCCGCCCCTCGCTGTCGCCGGAGGAGGCTGCCCACCCCAGCGGCCCAGGATGCAGTTTCGCCTCTTCTCCTTTGCCTTGGTCATCCTGAACTGCATGGATTACGGCCACTGCCAGCCCGGCCGCTGGAGACGCAGCAAAAGAGGTGAGTGGCGTCGGCTGCTCAGGCGGGACGCCGGCCGGGGCAGCTGCGGGACGCCGCGGGGAAGGGCCGCTCTCCGGCAGGTGAGGCGCGCTGCGGCTCCGCGGGCACCGGGCCGGCACGTGGGCGGCAGCGGGGGCGAGCCCGGGGCCCCGGGGCCGTGCCGGCGGGGCCGCCGCTCCCGGGGCTGCTCGCCGCCTCCCTGCTGCGGAGGTCGCGCCGGGAGCGGGAGCAGCGGCGCGGACGTGAGCTCCGATGGGGAGGGACCGGCCGGAGCCCGGGGCAGCCGGGCACGAGAATGTCGAGCGGTAGGCGCACGGCCCTCGGCCGCACGGCGTGTCCTGCCCCGGGCCGGTGCAGCCGGGGTCTCGCTGGAGCTGCCCACCGCGGGAGGGCCGCAGCGGGCAGGGAGGTCGCTGATGTCGCCGTCGCTCCTTGTCCAGCGGCTGGCGGCTCCGGGGCATCGCTGTTAGCCCGCGCAGCTGGAGCCGCATGTCCGTGGGACGGACTTGGAGGCTGCTTTCTCTGGACGTTTCCGAGACAGAAAGGCGGCTTTTCCCCTGCCATCCTCCGGCACCGCCGTGCCGCTCCCGCGGGGTTTGGCCGCCGGGAGAGCCGCGGCGGCGGAGCGCACCGCGCCATGCCCAGCGCCCAGGGGATTTCTGTGCCGCCAACTTTGCTGAAAACGTGCAGAGCCCTTTGAGGAAAGACATAAACGGGGCGTTGGGATTTATCGGTTTCCCTAAAGGCTGATGTCGGGATGCCGGAGCTTGGGAGCCGGAGCGGTGCAATATGCCAGTACAGCTCCCGTGTGGACGGAGAGGTTACTGCAGCGCCTTCCGGCTGGCAGCCTGGCTCAGGCTTCGTCTGTTTATTTATTTTTTATTTTCCTTTTCCTTTTGAGTGGTGGGGAAGTTCACCTTATTATAAAATGTTTTATTACCCACATATACTGAATTATTTTTCTATGCCTTTTCCTGTTATTTTCTCGGTCATGTATCCCCTTTGCATTTCTAAAAGTTCCCTGAAAATCAGGTGGCTCAAGCTGCTGAGAAATTTGTATTTCTGAAAGAATTGCACTTTTAGTGGTATTATTTGGAAGGGGAGGGACTTAGTGTCTCCAGTGTTAAGCAACTACAAATAGTAATAAAACTGTGACAAGAAAATAGTTTGCACTTTCATGCATATATCACCTTCAAAGTAGGTACAAATAAAATTGTAAGGCCGTTTGGTTTTGATGGTTTCCAGAGTTTAATTTATGTGTGTGTGGCTAAAACGATAGCAGTCCTTTAAAGTGACCAGACTATCTGTGCTAACAAAGGGTATACTGTGTCTTTAATTAAATGTGGAACTACTTAGAGTGCTGGCTAGACAGCGGAGGGTGATAGTGGTATTTCTGCTTTACAACAGAGCTTAAGGGCTGCATTGTGGGACTACTGAAATGAATAGACATCTAACTCAAGTTGTGTGAATTGTCCTCTTACAAAAACTTAAGCTGGTTTTAATTGATCTCATGTTCACTGATTGATCCTGGACCAATTGTTGTGCTTGTTCAACAGTTGGCTTTTCCAAAGGAGATTGATTTAAATTAGGTTTTAGTTTAATTATGGGATAAATACGATCAGTATTGACAATTGACTTACTGGCTCTGTTTTGTGCTATCACCTATGGGTTTTGTTTTGGGCTTTGAAGAATGCAGTCTTTTTCAGTTAATAAGTATAAAGAAGTAAGCATAGCCAGTTCTAAGCACAGAAAGCAGAATCTAAGAATGTATTCAAATTATAATAGGTATTTGCCATGACACATCCAGTCTGAAGTAATGCTTTCGTACAGGACTCAAAATTCCAATAATTTCACAATTTTTCCATATCCCATCTGCAAATAATCAGGCAGTCACTGTGGGGTACTGGCAGTTAAAATTTCTCTGGCATTCTGTTTTGTCTGTTACATGCTCAGATGCTCCATAATATAGTTTTCTTAATGAAATACAATTTTTGGCATAGATTAAGTCTCCTGTGTGGTAGGAATCAATTGCATTCAGTCTGGAATTATGGGCAAATATCACGTGTAGCAGATTTTTTTAAAGCAGCTAAATGTACAATAAACTTTAAGTGTATATGCCTGTATTGGCATTTGCTTGGATTCGTTGTTGATGTAGAATGCTCTAATAAAGAAGACTTAAGTAAATTTGGGGAGGTGTTCCCAGAATTCCTCATTCGCCATCTGCTTGCAATCCTCTCCTAAATCAAGGCTTGCAAAATTGCAGTAAAAGCGGAATAATAAAATAGAGTTTAGAAAGTGATTCCTACCTTGCATTGATTTGTGCTTTGTTAGTCAATGTCACTTCACTAATTTTTTTTTGTAAATACGTAATAATCAACAGGCTCTGCTTATTCCACCACTGCTCTTAGTTACTTTTCCAGCTCATTAGAATATTGCTTTACATAGTTACTCAGAACAGACCTTTACTTTCCTTAAAACACCTCACCAAAGTCTCCCTCTGGAAGTCACTGCTCTGAGCAGGATTAAGGCCTTTTTGCCTTTCCTGCAGAAGATATTTGAAAACCCCTTTAAGAGTCACCTAGCTTAAAGCTTGATGGTGTAATATCACAGCTGGTTTAGCCTAATCTTTCCTTTTCTTGTTGCATTGTATAACTTGATTCTTTGTTTCTCTTGTAAGCCTTCTTCAATGAAAATTTATATTTATTTTTCAGATTTCTCTTTAGCAATGAGTATAAGATGGGCAGCTTCGTGTCTTAGCATTTCACTGAATATCACAGGGTGTGAAAGACCAGTGGTTTTTCCCTTTGAGATGTAATAAAAACAACTTTTCCAAAGAGTACCGCAAGTCAGAATGGGGGTATATAGAAATGAAGATTCTCAGGGAGGTGTGATGGTTTTCTGCAAAAGTTTTGACAGAAAAGAATACAGGGATCATTATAAACAGCCATCAAAAACTAGATGCTAACAAAATTCCTCAAGGGAAAAAAAAAAAGTCAATGTGATAGCAGTGCCTGCATTGATGAGAAGACTCAACAGTTGACAGAGAAGCTCTCTACAGCTGGTAAAACCAACACTGGAGTAACAAAAAATGTGAATGGAACATACTCACATAGTTAAAGCAGAAGTTGTTTATATCCAAGAACTCAAAACTTAAAATACTTGTCTTTCCGTTTAGTTCTTATTCATGGAGTATCATGAGGGCTAGGGTGAACACTTATCTCTTAGATGCTTGCACTCTGTGTTAGAAGTACATAAAGGCAGAATACCTGTGGCAATGAGTGAATAGTGAGTGACAGTGGTGATAGCAAAATATTCACAGGTGGAAACCTGGAGGAGGAATACCTGGGGCAGGAAACTTCCCAAGTGTTTCTCAGACATCAATATAGCTTTCTGCACAGCATTTATTGAAGAATATGCATATATGGAGAGGCACAGTCACTGGGTTCAAAATTATGTCAATTAAATCTTTATCATCTTAATGTAAGATGGGAATCTTGACCACAAACCTGTTATTATTATAGGAAGTTGTTACATGGATTTGCAACTAGAATAAAAACCTGCTTGGATATTGGGGACTGTGATTTAGCTTTCCTAATGAGGTACTTTCCTGGGATAATCTTGGAACCTGTCTCAGCTATATTGTATGGTCAAGCTTTGGGAAGGATGGATGACTTAAGCATTAGGGAAATACTTGACTGAAATAAATACTACATCTTCTTTTACAAGGACTGTACTATCTCTTAAAGAGTAATTTATCTCAAAAAAAAAAAATCATACTACATAACTTTTAATTGTCTAGCATTATCCAAATATTCTAGCTGTTCTGTCATCCTCTCTTTGAGGTTGAAACCTCAAATGTTTTATGTTTGAAGGACAGTTAACTTATTTATCTGTGGGTTAAGACTTAAATTTCTATGTGGAAGCAGTACTTTGAGATAATGGTTTTTTTTCCACAATTTTGAGATGAAGCAGTTATAACAGAACCTGTGAAAGAACTGAGATGTGCTAACAGAAGTGGTAATTTTCCAGGCACTCATGATCAGGAGAAATGCTTTGGAGTGTATCTTCTGTTCCTCAGGCCTGTAGTTAGGATAGTTACTAATCATTCTTTATACATATATTGTTACTACAGCTGTTAGAATATCCTAACACTTTAACCATTGAAAAGTTACAACTTCTAAACCTTTGGCCACTTACACTTATTATTGGGTACATATTTTCTTAAGTCTCTTAAGAAGGAAGTCTCTTAAACTGACAGTAATCCAAATTTCTGTGTGAATGACTGAATACTGAACTAGCTAATGATGTAGTGTTACTCAGGATAAGCAATGCTCAATCAGATTGTGAAGATTTGCAGGAGAATGCTCAAAGCACCACCAGCAGGATTCAAAGTTAAAATAGACATCTAAGTTTAGGTGTTTTATTCAGCTTCCCAAAACTGGTTTTTAGAGCTGCTTATAATATTTTCAGATATATTTCTGGGTTTGGTATGTATGTGACTCTCTTTAGCAACCAGAGGCTGGGCAGGATGCCAGGATACCTTGGGGCAGGTCCTATGCATTTGACACCTTTGGGTGTCCCAAGACCTGTTACTGGGGAAGCTAGAATTGGGGAGCATGTTCTGGCACAGTGTTGGGGTGTGAACGCTTTTCCTTGCCTGTATCCATCCCTTTAGGTTCCATTATAGGTCACTTGGGTTTAAGATGCAGGGCTAGATGGATGTGCCTGATCAGACCTTGAAGTCTGTGTACGTGATTTTATGTTAAAATCTGCTGTAAGATTTACGCTACAAAGAGCTTAGATTTGTATGCTTGATAAACTTGTCTTAACTGTATATTTTCCCCTTTTGGGGAATGGAGGGGATACACATTTTCTAAGGCTTGGCTGAAGACTCTCACTAAAGCAGGTCAAAATGCATGACAGATGCTGAAGTGAGTTTTCACACTAATATAGGGACATTATGGCAATAAAAGTAAGAATGCAGTTTCTCAATTCAATGT